ACTCAATCTCCCTATGTGGCGGTAACCCGAGTAGTTCATCTGGGAAGACATCCAGAAAGTCCGACACTATCAACACCACATCCTCATGGAATTTATCCCGATCGCCTCCCATCAAACTAGCTAAGAAACTCAAATGGCTTCCCGCCTTCGCTTTCAAAAGTCTACTACTCGTAGTAGGAAATGGGTGAGAAGATTTGTTATCTTTCTTGAAAGTGAAAACTACCCCTCCTGGTAAGCGAAATGAAATCCTCTTGTGAAAGCAATCCATCACCGCATGGAATTTTGACAACAGATTCATTCCGAAGATTATGTCATACCCCATCATGTCAAATGCAACCAAATCTACAATCAATTCTTGTTCCCCAATTCGAAGCATACAACCTCTACACACCCTCGTAGTATCTAACCGTTCTCCCGTAGGCAAGTCAATACTCAAGGCATGCTCTAGCTTCTCAAATTTCAATCCCAAACTAAGAGCATATGTATTACGTACAAATGAGTGGGTAGCACCGGGATCAAATAAGATTCGGGCCCAAGAGTTGTAAAGAAGTACGATACCTTCCACTACGGCATTAGAAGCATCCTCCTTTGGTTGAGTCAAAGCAAAAACTCTCCCTTGATTGGCCCCACCGGGGCTTGAGCTTGTAACTGTCTCTGTTGTTGTGGTCTCGGTGGTGGTGGCTTATTTGCTTGAATTTGTCCTGTCGCTTGATTGGTCCTAGGTGGAAGTGAGGGGCATTGATTTTTGAAGTGCCCTAAAATCTCCACATGCATAGCAGCGACGTGGGTTGGTGCCGGTCCTCGTCTGGGTAGCTCCATCTCCTCGGGCTGTCAAAAGTCTCTGTCCACGTGCCTGGTCTGGACGACGGTATGGTGCCACCCGCTGTACTCCACTGGTGCTAGTGCCCGTCCTGATCGGACCTCCCCTTGTGAAATTCTGTCGCCGCTGGGTGTCCTCAACATCCCTCTCCACAAGTGCGGCTCGGTCAACTAGATCCCCATAATCCCGAATCTTGAGAGCCACAAGCTTCTCCCTGATGGCAGGCCTCAATCCCTACTCAAAGCGTTTGGCCCTTCTTACTTCTGTGGATATAAACTCCATAGCATAGCGGAGAGCTCGTCAAACCTCCTCTCATACTCAGCCACCGTCATGTTGCCCTGCCGTAGAGCCAGAAAATCGGCACTCATTATGTCCCTCACTGATTCAGGAAAGTATTTGTCTTGGAAGATTTGGTCAAACTCCTCCCAAGTAAGCACGTCGGTGTTCCTTCTTCTCTTCACGGAGTCCCAACAATGGTCGGCCTCCCCCTCCAATAGATAGGTTGCCAAGCCGACCCGAAGATCCTCGACAACTCCCATGCCGTCACACATTTTCTTCACCCGGCGGATCCACCTATCTGCATCCAAAGGGTTAGAGCTCCCTTGGAACGTAGGTGGACGTTGTCTCAAAAACTCCTAAAGGACGACCATCCTCCGATTTTCATTCCCGTTGCCCGGTACTTGGGCTAGTGGATGCGCCCCACCATTGTGGTTGTTGTTCCCATTTTGGTGTTGCACCAAAGTGGTAAGCTCTCGTAAACATTGGTAGATGTCGTTTATGGCATCGGGAGGTGGTGGTGGTGGTGGGTTTTCTTGGCCACCACGACCTCGTCCACGTCCACGCACTCCGTCCATCCTGCACACCAATTCACAATTTAGCTCCTTGATGTACAAGACATTCTAAGTATAGTTTTAGTCTAAGCATAACGTTTAGATAAACTTTCATCCAACAAGATAGTTTACCCTAGTCCTATTTCTCTAATGGTGATCCATAACCTACAGCTCCTGTGTAAGACCTAAAGCCTAGGCTCTGATACCAAAATTTGTAACGCCCCAAAAACCACCCTGGACAGCATTACCATTTAAAACCATTCATATCATGAGAGCAACTAAATAAATCCATGATTTACAAACATTCTTAATTTAACAAAATTCGGGTAGAGTCTCCTTTGTACGGGGAGCTCTATCCAAAAACTCAACCTGTGCATTTATACTACATTGACCACACCGGGTCCATTTAACCATCAAATAAAAATATTTCATTCATCATATGTACTATCCACAATGTCATCCCAAAAAGAATAAGCCAAGTTATGACAGTTACATCCCAAAAGAATTACACTCAACTTTAGCAGCGGAATAAACAAAATACTAGACTATTTATGATCGTAAATAGATTTCTTAGTCTAGTACAAAAATAACTATAGCCCTAGATGTCCACCTCGGGATCTAGAATCCCCTCGGGTGGGGCCTCCCATGCCCTGGCTCGTCAGCTCCGAGGTCCTCCTCTAGCACCAAATCTGAAAAATATTTAACGGTAGGGGATGAGCACGAAGCTCTGTACCAAAATCCTTCCAACTCAAACAAGGTTTAAAAAAAAATATAAAACAGGTCGGTCTCATTTCACAAATAACATATATAACTTTGAAAATAAAAACCAAGTCATTTAAACAGATCTCAAGTTTAAGCACAACAATAATTTAAGACATAAATGAATCCAATATCCAACAACTAGTCCATTCCACCATAAATCGTTTCTCCCAAGTTCCTGCGGAATTCCATACTTCCCAAGATTCTTGTAGAAACTATTTCTGGTACAATAAATAATAACCCTTTTTCTATATTCGTATCTCAGGTATGAAGTAAGATTTCGCATGGTCATCATCGAAAATATCATGACCCACGTACAAACCACACAATTCCCTTTTTCCACGATACCCCGTGAGTGATAATAGTTTAGCCTTCGCAAGGAACTAACCCCATTACGAGTGGTAGGAATAGTTCAACCCACACGGAGTAAGAAGTCGTCTACCCACTCCATGATACCCGATCAATAGTAACCCATGTTTATCCCCATAACCACACAAGAGATACAATACCAACTATTTTCTCAAATACAAATAATTCCATAAACCCCCAATCACATGGGTATTTCTCAAATCACAAGAGAATCAAATAATCTCAATAGAACATTATAAAAGAAAAGCATGAGATCATCATAAATATTATTTCATTACTCAACACAAAGCACTAGAGTTTTTGGAATCAACAATGATGGAGAAATTAAGGAAAAATCCCCTTTTTCTTGAAAACTAGGTTTTGAAGCAAGTAAATGAGTTTTAATGGTTATCCAACCACCAAAATGTTTAAAACATGACAATAAATGCAAGAATACCAAGAGTCAAGTATATAATAACAAGTAATTAAGATTTTTAAGCCAAAAGAATACATATAAACTAACCCTAACCTCAATGTAAGAGAATAGGAAGAATTCCCCTACCTTGAATCAAAGTTCCAAACCAAAATCCAAGCTCAAGAGACCTCCTTTCCTTCTTTCCTCTATCTTCTCCTAGGGTGCTAAGAGGTTTGGGGTGAGAGTGGAGTGAAAGAAATAGAGGCAAATGGGCTGAAATCTGTGTTTTAAACACAGCAGTCCCGACGGGTTACTGTTCACAGGCTGCAATTTGGGTTTTCTCCAAAATTATGGTTTTGCCACTAAAAATCTCTAATTTGATCCATATGACTACCCTAAGGTTTTTCGACGTTTTGATTCATTTTTAATGTTATTTTAACCTAAAAATATTTATTTTTATGATTTATTTCAAAATTAAAATAAATTTACACTCGAAATATTAAAATTACTATTTTATTCCTCCGAACCGCCATATGTGCTAACGGTTATCCCAAATTCTTATGGTTTCAATATATATGGTTTATTCTTACGTCATTAAATATATACAAATCACTAAACAAGTACATTACTATATTAATATAAACATGTGGGGGTTTACACCTTCAAAGTCTAAGAAGAAAACACTACACTTTACTATCCAAGGAACACCATAGTGCAGATTTTTGGTCAACTTCAGAGAATAAACTGATTTGACTTAGGTATTTCTAGTATGGGTGACCTATATGATTGGAAAGATATACGAGTTAGGGTTTTAACAAAAATAACGGTGTGAAATTTGGACTTTCCAACAAAGAGTTATGATCAAATTAGTGAAAGATAGTCTACCGGACTGCTTGGTTCTTCTATACTTGTCTAACTCGAGTTTGGGTGTCTTTTGTCACAAATCCTATCTCGTACGCATCTCCAATATAGGTAGGATGACTTTCATAAAGATCCATATCTAGCATCATTCATTAACCAAAACCAAATTACCCTCCGTCTCCTAGAATCATCCATGACAACATGATGTAGAACTAGTATATTTAGAAAAAATCTTTCTTCAATTCCTCAAAGCTAGCTCGTTGATAAGAATGCAAATGTCATATTTTTTTTTTCATTATTTAGCCCTTTATTCTTATTATTCTTATAGTTTGATTTAGGATGTAAATAAATACGTTAAAAGTAGAATGAAGCTAATAGGATGATTGTTGATAGTATAGACATGTGGGGATTTACACATTTTGAAAGACGAAAATGGATAAAGGTCAATTAAACGTCCATGCTTACGGCCTATCCCAAGGGTCCATCCTACTCGTGGATCTTAAACAATACAACTAAAAGAAAAGAACAAAACAATGAGTTCGAGATCATAAATTTGACCCATAGATTTGAGATTGAGAGTAAGATTAGGTATGTGAAAGTATGGGGAAGTGACACATGGGATGTAGAGAAATGTCCGATGTGATTGACATGCATATGTGAGCCATCTGTAATGTGAATGGTTGGGAGAAAACTAGTAGATTGTGTGGAAGAAAATAATGATTCATTAGGGGTCAATCACCTTCAGATTGATTGCTAGATCTGTATTGTTGGTTGGTGTTAGATCTACCATTCCTAGGTGCATTATGGTATAAATTTTGTGCACAGTTACTTAGATAGTGGCTTGGGCTCTTTTTGTAACAACTTGTAAACTCAGGTAGGATAGTTCAGCAAAGCATGGCCAGTCTTGTGAAAATTTGAGCAATGAGATTGGGGCATATCAAATAATGCCATAGTGGGTTCTGAACGGTCAATGAATGGCTAAAAGGCCACCAGAGAATGTCATAGGACGACCGGAATGGGATCGGAGGATGACCAAAAGGTCATCATAGAATGGTTGAGAGGTGGTCAGAACGTCTTCGAGGATGAGTGGGAGTTGATCGAAACTTTGTCGGAGGACGACCAAAGGTGATTGGAACCTCATTGGAAGATGACCGAGGAGGTGAGTTGAACGTCGCCGAAGGATGGCCAGGAGGTGATCGGAATGTCGTTGGAGGACGACTGGAAAGTCGTCAAAGATCAACAGAAAGAGGTTGTTGGAGGACAGCTGGGAGGAGAAGAGCATCAAGAGTTCTACTATGGAGAATCCCTCGCAAGGCAACCACATAGCATACTATCATTGGCCAAAAAGATTCACGAGTCTATACCCTAAAATAAGAGAATGGAAAATGAATAGCAATTATATATTTCTTTGGTGTAATTTATTATATACATGAGGATGGTTATTTACAGTACAAGAGAATAGTGAAATTTCCTAGTCTAACAGGTGTGGGAAAAACATATATGACTATTTGATCTCTGGAATTTTCATTTTTTAAAGAAGTTTCTATATATGTAGTCTATATGCTTCATTAATTTTGTCTAGCTTTGCGTGATTCCATCAAGAGTTTTAACTACTAATTTCAAACTTTTTTGTTCATACTTTAGGTGCTCAAGCAGCTACTATGACTGCTATTGAACCTTGTGTTTGTGGTCTTCTGAACCGTTTGATTGGTTGTCACTTCGAAAAAAGCTTATGTCTTCGACTTGAAAAGTAAAATAAAAAAATTTTAATAATACAATTTGTTAAAAAAAATTCTGAAAAAATGACGAATGCAATATGAATATTGATTTGATTTTGTTTTGTTTTATGTCAATGATGAGAAGAGGAAGTATGATTGGTGGTGAATGTTAAGTGAGAGAGGTGGTGTATTTGCATCGTTTTGTGGGGTTCAGGAGATTGCTATAGTCTTGAATAATGATTATTTGCTTCTCACAATCCTACCTAATTTTTGGTAAAATGAATTGGTGTATGATGTTTTCAAAATGGGTCCTTATTTAAAGGTCTAACCATGTTTGGCATTTAAAGTTACAGTGGGATCACTTAAATCAATGGGGTAGATTGATTTGGTTTTCTCATAAAGAATTCAAAGTACTCAAAAGAATGTTTCTTTTTTTTTCCAGAAGGTAGAATTCAGAATGTTGTGCTTGGCCAATGAGTTGAATTTTGGTTTCTTTTGATTGTGTTATAGGTTTGTATTTGAACCTTGTTATAATATCTATATTATTTGGATCAATGAAATTTTCTATATTCTGATTTTTTTTTGTGTTATACAGTGATGTCATGCGCATAGGTTGTTGTTTGTTATTTTGTTGGTTTATATAATGTCTTTATATATGGACAATTGCTAGTACTATTATAAAATAACAATAAAAGTGAAAAACTTTTGATCGCCTATAATAGCCTTAATAAAACAACTATTTCCCTTTTTATTAACCTTCCTTTCATGTTCCTTAATTTATTACATCATTCTATCTTATCATTTCAACTTTGTCAATTAATTATGTACATAACTTTGACATTTTATTATATTCATTTGATCTTTAATTATTAATTTGAACTCTTAATTTTCTATTCTTTTTCCTTACTCAAACTTATATATATGTGTATATCAATACTACTAATTAAAGTACACTAACTAGAAAAAAAAATTGTTTTTCTATTTTACCATTGAATAATTTCATAAAATATGTTTGATCATTTATGCAATTTACCATTGAATGAAGGTATAAAGTCAAGGATAGTTACTGGTATTGATTGTCATTATTATAATTTATCTTTGAATAATGCAAAGAATCAACGGCCATACTTGTACTAATGGGACATGAAGGGTTAAACAGTTCGTAATTTTGTGTATACTTAACCATGGTAATCTTGAATTACTACCATTTGGTGGTAAAGGTGTCAGAATATATTACCCTTGCAACCTTAAACACCATTATATATTAGTTTAGCCATGAAACATGATTTTAGATTGTGTAATTGTGAATGTTTATTAAGATTGTGAATTTTGAAAACAGTAGTCCATGATTTTGATGTACAATTTTTTTTTTTACTTTAAATCCGTGTATAAATACACGTGTGTAGAAATTAATATTACTAAAATTCACATGATTTTTAACATAATCCCGTAACCCAAATGATCATTAAAGCATAATTTAGTGCCTAGCAAGACCGAAACGTTGTGCACTTTGTTTGATAAGGAAGCAATCAAGTGGATGTTTACATAATATAAATCCCCAAAAATTTTCATTGTGACATCCGTCAAGAGTTCGGAGAAGACTAGGACTAAGTAATAATCGACTAAAGGCAAATTATTTAGCTCCATGGCTCTAGCCAGAAAGTCCAAAAGGACTAGTGTTTGACCATGATCCCTTCTTCTTTCGTTGCACACGCAATAAGCCTTCGTCTTTGGATCCTGCTTAGGATCGACTTTCACTCCACTTTCACTTTCATATCAAGAACGTCGACTTGCACTTGCAATATCAAATTTCACTTTCCGGAATCCTTTCTTTGTAGAATTAGTCTCTTGACATGTTAGAATAAAACTATATATATCTAATCCTTTTCCAAACCCATCATGACAAGAGTCTCTTGAATCATATTTTATGTCAATTTATCCCCTGAACTGTGCAATCTGACTCAATATGAACTTTTCATCCAAGCTCACCGTTACGTTTGACAGATTCTCTCACATGCACTTCATGTTGCCCTTGAACTATACATTAATCTTTAACTCACGTGATATACACGTGATGATTTTCGTCAAAGTTAATAATGATTTTACAGAAGGTCACATTGAGTAAGATTATATAGCTCATGGACTAAATTGATGTAAGTATAATTTAAGAATTTGATTGACACAAAATTATAGTTTAAGGACCAAATAAATAATTAACTCTTTTTGTTCGATAGGTAAAAAAATCTTTACTTATGGCAATTATATGCTATTATTTTTAGGTAAGAGTGGATAAATAATCAAGGAACCCAAACCTAAAGTTGAATGGAGGCCTTGTTAGGGGTAAACAAGACCACACCATAAAATAGACGTGTTACACGGGAAAGGTCGCTTGCAATGCCACCTTAGAATCCAGCTCATTACTAGTGGGACTCGTCCACCCTGCAACAAATCCAAGTGGAAATGTCTTTAGATGTAATTATTTGGTCCCAAGTAAAGCGGTTTTATAGATGACATTAGCTTCATTGGTCATGCCAATTGGCACGATTTTTTTTGTGGCAGAAACTGCGTGATGAGGAGGCATCCCAATGAATCAGATTTTGATAGGGGTGTACTTGGCCAGCTGGGTGTGTTGAGGAATTAATGCAAAGTGGATCAAGATATAAAATGGGTAAATTGTAAAAGGTTGATAAAAAATATTCACTAAAAAATGTAGGGTTATTAAGTCCTTAATTTTGATACATATTTGTATCTAAGTACACAATTTAAATTTGTCTAATTTTTTTGTGATATTTTTGTCCTCCATTGATTCATGTATATATTCTTTGGAAAGTGGTGTATTAAATATCTCATAGTTTTATGGGAGAACTTTAGTATTTAATGCACTTTAATTCATGTGTATTTGTTAATATATATATGCAAGTATATATATATATATATATATATATATAATACGTGTAAAGTGTAACATTGAAATTGTAAAATGTAAAATATTATCTTATGTCTCACATTTCTTAATGAAAAGTGTAAAGTGTTATAGGGTAATATTGAAAATAACAATAAGAGTGTAACAATAATAATGTAACAAGCTATTTACACAAGGTAAGGGAAAATATTACCTAAAGTATTACACAAACAGAATATAAATGTCTCATCTTACACTAAAAATGATAATTAATTGAGAAAGTGTGAAAGTGTTACACTTTCAATATTAACATGTAACATTTTACACTTTTCATTAAGTAAGGTGAGACATAAGTAAATACTTTACACTTTATACTTTCAATGTTACACTTTAAACGTTTATACATACTAGTATATGTACTTATATATATATATATATATATATATATATATATATATATATATATATATATACAATATACGTATATAAATACATACATATATAAATATAAATATATATATACACACAAGTATAAATATAAATATACTAGTTATAACTCATGCTTGAAGGCATAATAAAATATAAAATTTGAGCTTCTAAAAAATTGATACTATTATATTAAATTTTTTTTAAATACATTAACTACAAATTAATCAAATATTAAATAATTAAATATATGATAGAAATGAATGATGTGATATTTTTAGGGAGAAAATATTTATATAATTAAATATGTGATAAAAATGAGTGAGACGATTTGACATTTGAGTTTGACAAAGGGATGATAGGTGAGGTAAGTGATTGATGATGTTTTTGAGGAAAAAAATATGACTGAGACAAAATTTAAACACACTCCTGTTTTATTATATAGATATATATATATATTGTATTTATATACATATATACAAGTATATATATACGTATATATATATATATATAATATATATATATATATATAAGTATATATAGTATAGATACATATATAAATATATATATATATACGTATATATATATATATATATGTATATATATATATATATATATATATTAAAAAATACACATGAATCAATGTACATTAAATATTAAAGTTCTCCTATAAAATTTGGAGATATTTAATGCACTATTTTTCCTAAAATGGGTATTTATGACTTTGTGTCTAACTAGTGTAACTTTTTTTAAAATATTTTTTAATTTGTACTTTTTGTCAAATAAGTCTAATTCGATGTACCGATTTCTAAAAACTCCATCATTAACTTGAGTCCAACCCAATCCGTGATTAAGCTTTTGAATTTAGATTGAGGTCGGGTTACATAATTTAGGTTGCAATTTGCTTTGAAATTGAGGTTTTCATTAATAAAAATTAAATTGAACCATAAATTGGGTTCAATTTCGTGTTCAGTCCCAAAATTGAAACTAAATTTTTAAAACTTTTCGTTAATCAAACAAAAACTAATTAAAAACAAAAGGATCAAATTTCACATTCGCTATAGGATTCAAACATCAATACCAATCATTGAGGGGTGCGGCGCAGATGCCCTAACATTTTTTATATACGTGTATTTGTGTAAAACAATTTATGTTTAAATTTTTGGTTGAAACCGATTTAAGTCTGATTTTTGTAATTTCGGTTGGGTTTTGGTGGAA